TATTCGGAAAGGATGATGGCTCCAACCATTACTCAAAATAGACTTACTCCAAAACTCCAAGGGTGAAGTGGGTACGCTCCTTAGAAATGACCCAGCTGATGTCAACGTGTAAGCAACCCGCCTTGGTGGACATCGCAAAACATAACCGTAATCCTCTAGGTATCCTATAGGCAAAGAACGGAGGCAGCAGGTGGATACCATAAAGCTATACCCCTTGAGGACATGAAGTCATCAACATTGAGATAAAAACGGACGGAAAAACAAGAAGGCCACAGCGTGGACCGATCGGTTCAAGAGGAACGCCAAAGGAGAAGGGACGGTGAAACCGAGGGCACAGTAAAACAGCCAGGCAAACAGGATACGCACGCCCAGCATACAAAATTCAGAGGATTGGAGTTGTTTGTGAGCGTTATTCAACTGCCTGTCATCGTCGGTTTCCGTATGAGAACGGTTGAGCGGCAGAGAGGAAATTATCACTGGGTTGGAGGGAAAAAAGTAGACGCACGTATTTGAGCGCATACGCGCAAGGGGGAAAAAACACTGGTACTAATTTAGTCTACGGTTGAAACAATGTACAAATTGCAGGCGAAACCAAACCACGCACGACGTCCCTACACACACAAGTCACGATGTTGCACATCGCGATGACGAAGTATGACTGATGGTCGAGTTGTCGCAAAATTCGGCTACTCTCTCCCTCTCTGCTCTCTCGAGTTGATATCTCGAGGCTAGGTCTTGGCTTGGTTAGAGCTCCGATTTAAGTACAAACGGACGCAATGCGTTCGAATATCACGACTGTACGTTATACGAACTACAAGTGAACAAGCAAGCATGTACGTGATACGTTGACGGTGGACAGTGTTCACAGGGGAGGTTTCTTGAACCTCGTTTGCGGGGGAGGGGTGGCTGAAAGCCAGCTACTTGGTAGACAGGCCTCGACCCCGACCCCGAGCACGCCTCCTCCAAGAAACGTAACGGTGCCCATTCGTTGAAGCTGTTCGGCCTTGCTCCTGACGGTTCGGCGTGTCCACACACACAAGCTGTCACAACACTACCCAGGGGCGTCACCGATATCCCAGCACATGCTGATTCCGGCAGGGAAGGATGCATTGACTATGTACATGCCTCGATATTTCTTTCTCTCACGGCAACGAGCGTTTTCCCGCGATTCGTTCTCAGGGGCACACAGGAGGCTCGTTGGTACATGAACGCTCGTGCCCGAAGCCCGGCGGGCCACCGTGGCGCGTATGGTTGACGCTCAAAGTTGCGAAAACTGGCTAAATACCCAGGGGATGCGTTAAGCGAGGACAAAGTTTTCTGAACCAATTCGAAACCTATTAGAAGACTTATCCATCGGACTTTTTTCTCGACAACGTCCGATTTGCTCAATATTTGATGCGGCCCGGCAGTACGCTCCTCACGAATAACACATTCAGACAGCAGAAAAACGATTCTGCACATACTTCGCGATGTACATCTGCAGCATCAGGACTGGTTGGGACTGGCTATTACATGTGGTAGCCACTCTGATTTGACCCTTCACCTACGGTTTGCGGTTGGATAATGACTTAAAAGAACAGTTTTTCCCAAATAATATCGTTTTTGGATGACTGATGACGTCTACAGAGAGAACCGGCCACAGAATTTTCGAATACTTGCCATGATTTGTTTTCTCGGAATTGCTGCCAGCCAGCATAAACCCCGTACAAGCACGATTCACCCAGTGCGATTACCTTATCAGACAGCATCACAGCAGCCGTCACACGCTGCTGCATGTAGCCGTCTTACATTGCTGTGTCCGTCTATGCGATGTACTTGTACATGTAATATAGTGCATTTTGATGTCTACATAGATAGTTGAATGGTTGTAAATGGATCTTGCGATGTCCGATTTTTCCGAATGACTGCGGGCCATGACAAGTGGGCCAAGACATATAGGGATGTATACCACAGCAGCTGCATCAGTCCTCCTTCTCGGGGCTGATCATGTGTAGAACCACGTGCTTCAGCTGATGTTGTGCCTATACCATGAGCAAGTCCGATGTATTTAAACGACATCGAAAGCCCAAATCTGCACAATCCAAATATCCAAATCTACCGTGCCATACAAAAATGTCCAAACCTTATATCATATTCTTTAGTCTACTGCATTCGCTGTACCCCTACGGCTGTACTGCCGCGTGCACAAACGTCTATTACCTGCTCATCCCCCGCATCACAACTCACAAGCTTTCACCGCCGGAGCAGCCTCCACCCTCTCCCTTTATCAATCTACGCCGCCATTCATCAATGCCTCGTCAAACCTCCTCCCTCAAGCACATTGACCGCATGCTCAACAAACAGTCACTGCCGGTCCACAAAAATGTTTGTTTGGCCTTCCGAATCTACAACACGACACAACGAATTCGATCGTCTTGTCGGTGTATTTTTCACATCAGAGCGAGAAGAAGTTTGTGCTTAAATGACATCACAACTATCTCAAGAAAAGCGGAAAAACATCTTCGACACAGTCATAACGACCAGTGCTGTGGAAAAGGATGATGGTTTATACGCGATAGATGCCCTGGCCGGGACGGGAACAACGTTCACAGAGCGCGCAGTTGCAGCCCACCGGCGCGCCCGCAGAAAACTGGTCTTGTGCGCTTCATTTTCAGGAATAGTTGTCTTTATCCTACCTGGCGGTCTTACGATTCACCACGGTTCCATTAAACTCCCTTTCGGAGACGATGCCATAGAAGGCAGTGTTTGCAACGTCCCAGCTGAGTCGGAACGTGCCGACGTCACGATAAAATCGTCATGAATCATTTGGGATGAATTGCCCCAGAAGCACTCACCTCCACTCTTCTTGACCTATCTATGTCAAAATGACTCGCCCTTCGGGAGGAAAACTATTCGTTTCAGCGGGGATTGACGTCGAGTTGCTCCCGTCCTTCCGTTCGGAACTGAGAGTGAAATCATGTGCTTTCCTGTCGTCAGGTCTATGGTCACATGTTCATCGCTTTCGCCTTACCAAGTGCATTAGGGACGAAGATGACATCCTTTCCGCTAAAACTGTCTTAGCTGTAGGAGAGGGTGAAATTGAACCAGTTCTTTTCGTCGATGGCACCGCCGTTATTTCATTGCAACACCCAGTCCAAAACGACGATGGTTCCGAAACTACATGTATGCTTCATCGCCGGAACAACGGGGTTTGAAGACCTTGTTGCAAAGGTCTATCTCGACCTCTTGGAAGCTTTTGACAATATGTACAACGCCCATGGCATTCTAGCACCCACAAATGATAACAATGACCAGATCAATGACTTCATCCTTCGTAAAATGCCAGGAACTGTTCACCAACAACTTCGTTCAGACACCATCATTGAGGACGACGAATACATGCCAGATATTGTTTCCGTCGACTCTCTCGATAGCATCGACATCCCCGGCACGCCACCGCACAAACTCAACCTCAAAGTGAGAGCACTGATCTTCCTCATCAGGAACATTACTTTGATTGCGATTGCGGTATCGTCAATGTCAAACAGGGAGTTATTCGAAGGATTTCAAGACGCGTTATCGACGTTGAAGTTCTATCCGGTCGACGAATTTCTCATGGTGAAAAAACCACGCGTCTGCTTGGACGTCAAAGTAGGAGCGCGCCCTATTACCTTTCACCGTTACCAAATCCCTGTTAGATGTGTTGCGCTATGACCATCAATAAGCCTCAAGGACAAACGTATAAAAATATCGGCCTCGACCTCAGGGGATCGGTCTTCTGCCACGGTCAGTTGTACGGTGCCGTTAGCCGTACAACCTGCAGGGACAATATCCTATGCCTCGTTGAACATGGATCATCTCGTCAACGATATCCCCCACAGGCACAAAGCGTCGTCTTCTCTGAGCTTGTTGTTGCACAGCCACTGGTCAACTCCCCCCTACTTTTGACATTCAACTACCTCTTTGCCATGTCCAAGGTGAAGGATGGAACAATGGCAACAGCACATCGTCCAATGATGGCGACAGCGAGCGGTGGTGTGGGCAACGACAACGGCGATAGCACCGAAAATGGGGAAAACAACAACTAAGGATATCGGCACGTTGTCGATGAAATAGGTGATGCAGCATGCCTACTAAGATGCATTGCCCGTCGAGTATTCAACGACTCCAACATGCACCAACTGGTCAGAACGCAACTCATCGACAACATCAACAACCTCGGAGTCCGTGACCCCTTACCAGACTCTGGACAAATACTCTTTTTGACTCCATCTCTGCTGGAATCAATACAGAGAACATTCAAATAGCTGGTGAACCTGAACAACCCCACCAAAGTGTCCCCGAATACCTCCATCTCATGTCTGTCCCAACTTCCTACCTATGCTACCCATGTCGAGATTGCAGCTGCCCAACAGCTGTACAATACATGGGTCCCACGTGTGTCAGGAATTTTGACACGAGCACGAAATTTGACACGAGACCAGCATTTTGACACGAGACGTCAGAATTTTGACACGATAGGGTACGCCGCCCTTTTTCATGTCAGAATCACAGGTCAGAATTTTTCGAAAACGTGGTCAAAATATTTTCATCCGAGGTATTTTGACACGAGAAAACGACAAATTGACACGAGCGCCAGCACACACACACGAAGGCATCAACTCAGTCGGCAAGCTCGCACGCAGCTTCCCGCACACCCACTCACGTGAACATAACGCTCCCGGGAGTACATCGCGATAGGGGAACGTCAAGCCGCGGTTAGGATCGTGTGCGTTCATCGCGGGATCGAGAACAAAACACGCCGACATTGGTCTGTCTGGACTCTGGACTCAAAGCACACGGGAGATAACCACAACAGCAGCTAGACGGGTGCCCCGCCTGTGAAGGGAGAGGTTGCAGCAGTTGTTGGTGGAAGAGACGGTAGCCCTTGGCGCACGTACTAGGGGCGCGAAGCCGCTGGCAGCGGTTGGGATTTGGGGAGTGTAGTTCGCGGAGTGTAGTTCTCGGGAGTCACGAGGAACATGTCTTCCTCTCCAGCTAGCGCGCACAAACAGCAAGCAGTAGAGTCTGCATGCACTCATCATACCACTTGTGGCGGATTCTACCTCGCGCAAGGTGCGCCATCCCCTCGCTCCGTGTCTGGTGCGGTGATGAGGGAGCGCGACCTTTTGGTGTCCCGGCGGTGCAGCGGTGCAGCTGGGGTTGAATTTTTTTCAACTTGAGGCTGCGCCGCTGCTGGCCTTCGCCAGGCAACGTGCGGCGAAATATTTTTTCGTGTCAATTTACCAACCGTTACCTTTTGTCGTGTCAATTTGCCAACCGTCACTTTTTTTGGTGTCAATCTATCTCAGTCCAACTTTTTCGTGTCAACTTAACGTGGGAACCCAGGAATATTATCATTAGAATTACCCTGGTCGGCCAACCTTCCACATCCTCCGTCCCATGACACATGCGATGCTCTGTACGGGGGCAACACTACCGAACATCATGATATTGTCAATGACATGCAGCTCGTTGAGCAATGCGCATGTGGTCTTGCGTACCCCCCGTGGGGCCTGACACCCACGTCCCGAAGGGGAAGCTTGAATTCAACACATGTTGGTGGATGTACGACGGGGGCCCCGATTTAGCTACTGCTCGTGTCACGACGACATGTGGTCGTCATTGAGGACATGTCACCAGTAACGCTACGCCGGGAGCCTCAATAGCGACTAGCGGTCACGTAACCGGCAACAAGCGCCACTTCGTGGGACATGAAGCCGTGTTGCAGACTTTTCTTGACCAGGTCATGCATGCGTCATACTGCAGCAGTCGTAAGAAGGTAGAGGAAAAAGGGAGCACCTTAGTGTGGGCAACATTGGAGTAGTTTCGATACGGTATGCATTCCAATCAACCGGCAAGCTGGTTGTACCCTACATAATTTTAAGGAAGCTTCTCAACAACAGGTGAACAGAGGGTGTTGATTATGTTGTCCCTTTGTCTAGACCAACACACCAACACATATTAAACACGAAGAAGTCCGTTGTACGGAATATATAAATAAAAGTAGGCGGCAAAGAGACTATAAACATGGCAACGTCCCCCGCCCAAACATAAACGATGACCCTACATGGCCCGGAGAACGTTCGTCAATGCCCACGCGTCAAAGAACCATGCTAAGGTGAATAAAATATGTATCTCCTATGTTCGTCCGTGACGCTGATTTCGCGGCGCGTGCTTCCATGAACAGCACCTTGGCCTTGCAAAGATGGTACGCCGCCTCGTTAACCCACACGACTCCATGCACTCTTCTACCGACCCTAGGGTGACGAAAGCTCCGACTAGGGTGGCGGTGCCATCACCACCCACCCCCCGCACCGCCAACTCTCAACTGTCCATCGGCGCGCGGCATGTTGCTTGTGTTTACTTGTCTTGCGGTGTTGTGTCCTTGTGTGTGTGTGGAAGAACGCGGGGTTTCCACAAAATTTGAACCAAGGGTCGCTGCCACGCTAAAAACTGCTTATTGCGTCGCTGTTGTGGAGCCGACCGGTGGTCGCTGAACCGGGGTGCAGCGGTGTCTCGAGATTCCGGGGTTGCTATACAGGTCATGTCGCTAAACAGTTGGTCGCTATACCAGGGACCCCACTGCTGTTGAATGTATTCAGTTCAATGTATATACATTTGTTCAACGAATTTCAAACCAAACACACACTGAAATTCGGTGATATAGGTTTACGCTAAAACATTTCGTTACATGTTGCTGTTGCGTTTGTTGCAAAGCAATATCTACTTTGACTACATCAAACAATGTACCTAACATACAGTGCGACATCATTGCACAATGGTAAGAAGCCTTCAATACTTAATTGGTCAGGTTTTAAATTGTTCACACACTTTGTGGGTTAGGGTTAGGGTTACTTAAGGTTAGTACTTCCGACGTTGGTCCATGCAAGCACATACAATTTGTGACGAGATTGGTGCAGCGTGGACCGTTTCTGACCACTGTGTGCAGGTGAGCAGGTCCGTTTAGTCCGATTGTTTTGATATGTTTCCTTTCTTTCTTAGTTGCTCGCTATCGCCGCTCACTTTATGCTATTTGGAGGTACACAGACATGGGATCGTGTTTGACCATGGTCATTTGGCGTCGTCAGAGGCGGTGACATACATGTCGTCATGCAAGATATGGGGCTTCATGCCGATGCTTGTGCCCCTCTGTTAAGTGTGCGTACGATCCGATGATCGTGTGTGCTTGGGGTGTGGGGAGTCGGTTTGGGAAAGCGTAAATATAGAGGAAGAAGACAACGGAAAGCAACAACCTACATCACCTGTGGTCGGACAAGCGAGTTGCACACAGCATGTCGGGAAGATTGACCTGAGAAATCGAGAACGAAAGGCAAAAATGGTTACTCCCCTGGCGCCTGGAAAAGACAAATGGAGAGTAGGTAGTCTCGACGTGACGCCCCGTGCGAAACCATGTGGAACGCATCCGACACGGAACGAGCGCATGATATGTATTAATGAGATTCTGTCTGACATAACATGTATAGGACGCACGAATAGGTCCCCCTTTCTGCGATTTCATGACAAGGTTGATTCTCAATATTTTCTTTGGTGGTGTTGTTTTTCGTAACCAACATGACACTAACCCACACGACGACCAGGAGGGATTTTGATAGGAAGCCCTCAATTTCGATCGGTACAAAGAAGCAAAGACGCGTGGATTCTGATCATTATGTTAGTGTAGACTTCAGATCCATAGGACAACAACCGGGACAAGATTTTGTTGCTGCCCCAATAAAACGTCTTAGAGAACGTTGTTCGGAATGATTTCCAAGTCTTTCAACCCCGAGAAAAAGAAACCTCGGTTACTTTGTTGGTTATACGAATTCTCTTGCAGAAGTTGACCAACTGCGTCAGATCCTTGTAAGAGATCCTCAGGCTTATTCCACCGGAACCTCGTGACTTTCGCAATAATTCTCCTCGGACCAAACCAGGATACTGTTGTGGGATACGGAAAAATGTTTCTCAATGCAACTGCACTACATAGAGCAGGCAGAGACACTGATCATACAAGTCCTTCCATTTGAAACAACACCATTTGCAACAATCTTACCGTTGAAATGAGGGTTGGTTCTTGAATAGAATAGTGGTCAGACACATGTTAACGTTCCCAAAATCTTTTAAATTCATCTTCAAATTCTGTCAAACGACCGCGCACGATTATCAGCCAGAGAAACATTTGACAATCGCTTTTGTGCGCAAAAATATCTTGTTTTGTGGCTTTCTCGGAATGCATCAGAAGTGCCGCGGGGATCGTGGTCTAATGCTACCAAACGATTTGTTACAGACAAACCACAAATGCGTTTCTGGGAATTGAATGTAACGAGCTCGCAAAGGGCTCCCGACAACCCTTGATGCACTGAGTTGATGCTTTGCCTGCCAATATGTTGTGGCGATAGCCCTCCGGGACCAAACGGAGTCAGCGCTTCCCAGCGGGAAAACGTCCGCCGCTTGAGAGTAGACGTGAGTAAAAAACTATCCATCTCTCGCCCGTTAGACGATCGATCCATGTTCTATCTTCTTGGGTGTGTTCTCAATCAACGACTCTCACCCAGTTGCGCGTGGGTTGGCAGTGGCCGTGCTCAGTCAGCAGGAAGGCACATCGTTGTGCGCACAAAGTTGTGGACAGAACGATTTTTCTGGTTTTTTTTCACTCGAGTATAGAGCGTTTGTTCCTCCGTCCCCAGAAAGACTTTTTTCACAGCGACGCGCCTCCCTACTTGATGAGTGCGTGCACTGCTGAACCGCGCATACCCGGGTGAGAGTCGTTGATGGAGAAGACACCCGAAAAGACAAAACATGAATCGATGGTCTGAAAGACGAGAGCTGGATAGTTTTGTACTCACATCTCTTCTCAAGCTGTCGACTTGTTGCGGTTCGGAGACACAAGCCACCTTTTCTCCATGCCCTCCAAACTATACCCTTGTCTGTTGTTTTATTATGCACGCTCGACGAGCTCCTGCCGTGTATCAGCCGGCAAAACCCTGACACGGTGACTTTAGGGATTGTCCAGTTCCCTCTATGCTCTTGCCACGTTGGTGTGCGCTGCGCAGTGGTTGGTGTTTAGGACGGAAGGGGCGGTCGGCAATTGATCTCGCAGCTCTTGGACAAAATTTCCGCTACCTGCCTCATTTCAAAGTGTTGCTCGGACTTGTTGTCGAACGAGCTACATTTGTAACTTCGAAACAATTTTGAGAAGATTGTGCCGAAGGTTTTCTTCCATAAAAAATGAAACAAAAATCCTATTCTGCAAAAGTTGACAATCTTTTTGTAACATTTTCGCAAATATTTGGAGACCATAAACATGGGTCTCTGTACGGACTTGCAGTCTGGTTTTTGATTTGAGTATGCCCAATAAGACTTCACCGGAGACGGTACTGAAGAGGATGAATGAGGGCAAGTCAGTTTGTCACTGTTCAACAATGTTCAACATGCGATTACAGAGCTCGTGCCGGAAGTATTTGCCATCCGGACGATTTATAATTTTTTTTTCGTATGTGGAGGGGGCGCGAGAAGATATGAAGGCAAGTGACGGGACGTATCTTGTCGGAAGTACAGATATTCATTAGCAAGGGGGAACAAAGTGTCTCGTGTCTCTTTCCAAAATACAACACCTTCTGGTTTGCAGATACAACAAGTTGTAGGTCAGGACAAACGCAACTGGTAGTGCCGATTGTGCATGCAACGTAAAAATTTTGCCTGGTATTTGCATCGTATCCGGGGTGTTTAATTTGATCCCGCCATGACTTTTCGCTTGCGCGCTTGCCACTAGGCCAGGAGCGGAAGCGATAAAAAATCTCACTTTGCAAGAAAAGCTCGCTTCCACCGGCATTCGAACAATGACCTGACCTCTAGAAGGTTTCGAGGATACCAACTAGACCACCGGGGCGACCCATACATGTCGGCGAATGCAATGCCTTCTTCAGTACAAACCCTTTCTGCATCTGTACCAGGCAATCTCGTCCATTTTGTATTTTTGTGCTTCGCTAATGCTGTCAGGGAGGGGGAGGGGACCACAACATCGACCGCATGAGTTCGTCTGAAATTTTGTGTACTCTTGCGCAAAGATATGTTTTTGGACTCTCTTCACAAATACCCGTGTCCTTCTAGATATATTCCCGCGGGGGGGGCTTTCAAGAGGTTGCGTGTACGCGATCTCTGGTCTGTTCCCGTATCGATGACAGCAGAAAAAAATGTCACACACGCGCTGCTCGTCTTCCGTGCGGACGCTTTGCAGAATGTGGAGGAAGTAACCGATATTGCTTTCGGATTGTCGCGTGAAAATAAGCGGCACGTGCTACAGAGCTCGAGATTCAAAATAAAAAACTAAGTCCTAGTTCAATGCTAAAAACCCGACGACCATGAACCTGTATACAGGGTTCCGATAGTTCACGTCCTAGACTGCTATTTATCATCGCAGGGCCCCACGTCGTTTGCTTCCAGCTAAGTATAACCTGCTCAAATGGAGTAGGACGTCCCGAAGAAAGCCAGAGAAGTTTTTGTTTGCCGTTCCCACAGAACACCATGTGTCGAGGGGGAACGCCGCCTGCGCCGGACTTTCATATCCTTGCCGATAATGTGCTTCTCTTTGCTGGGCGACAGTTTCAGATGTGGGTCGCGCCTCATCCATCGGTTCGTTGCTGGTATTTCCGCACACAGGATCGACGACAGTTCCTCGCCACCCCAGTCTAACTTGGCGCCGAGCTCTGACTACATGTCTTGGTTGTCGAATACCACGTTATCAGGGCCTAGGTTTCGGGGAACCAACGCCTCCAATGGTAAAGCCCAAATAGCATTAATTACCGGCATGGTCTGTCTCAGAACGCCTACATTCAACGACGCAACATTTTCCGCCATGCCTGTTTCATGTTCGTGGTGTGTGTGCACATGCATGTCCGCTTGATTGCCTACGTGACCCCAAAAAAATGTACTCCGTGAAATATCGGTCATTGTGAAGATTATTTTTTTGGTATAGCGGTATTCGCCACATAACATCGTTGCAGTCGCATGTTTGGAATTGATCTACTGTAGTTGCATGATACCCGGGAATGTCCTCAGGGAGCTTGGTCATGTCATGAACGATGCATAGCTGTGAAAGCGTCGCGTCGAGTTCGAATTACATGCGCGTTTATCAAGTGACGCTCGGTAATACCAACAGAAACGACCGCGGCCAAGCCATGATATTCCTTCCCGTAGTGAAGCTATGTGCTGAACGCTGTCATCGTTTATTTTTCATGGGCCGCGCCGTAGTAAGCTGAACCGCCACAAGGAATTCGATGTGGCACCACGAATTCCCAACCACAGAAAACAAAACCCGATCACATGCCTCGGACACGTCGCCTGACGCCATGGCGACACGTCCCGGCTATATCCGAATAATGCCCACGAGATTTGGTGGCCCGGACGCACGATAGCGTATCCCTGTCGTTTTTCTTCGTCCTTTTTTTTCGTGTCGTGTTTTTCGTCATGTTTCTCCGTGCAGTAAGACATACGAGGCACCAGGCGGATCATTTCGCGAAGACCTGGAACATACAAGACGGAATCAAGCAAGTCCATCAAACCCAACATACTTCCCGTGCCCATGGCGATCAAGAAGGGCAAGACAAACAGCACCCAGCGCTTCCTAATGTAGTGTTCCACAGCTGGTCATCGCCAGTCGGTGCTGCACGCCACCGCCGAGAGACAGATTGGGGTCTCTGCGAGGTACAAGCTGGTCCAGCCAAGACCCGTATTTTACGGTTGGACCGGATTTCCCGCGCGGTTTTTTCGAATCAGAACCTGAAATTTTGAGACGGCCTCTGCAGAAGTACAAACAAACAAATGTCACTGCGCCATTTGGCGTAACTTTGTCTTTCATGAGTTACCCCTGTTGTTGTAAATATGGGAATACTTGCTTTGGGACAAAGTGGCTCAAACAAGAACAATCCAAATGGCGCAGTGGCTTTGGGTTTTGTTGTACTCATGCAGATACCGTCTCAAACTTTCAGGTTCTAGTTCGAAAAACCGCGCGGGAAATCCAGAATTTTGTTCTGGCCTCAGAACCTGGGTGGAAGGGCCCACCATTTATATAGGAAAATGAGGGGTCTAGGAATCGTAGAGACGTGTGCGAAAGCGGTGTAGTTGGGAGGAGCCACACTGGCGCTGCCTTCCAGCCCATGACGTACATGAGTTGTACCTACTGGGCGTGATGATGTGAAACATGTATTTAAAGCTCACGACGCCAAAATGCGCGCGCACTAACTCAAACAAATATGTCTCAACTCGACCGGAAAAAAAGCAGGTTTTCACGGTAGCACCGCTCGATGGTTTGCACACAACCACACCGATGCTATACCTGTAATGCAAAGCCAACGACAATACCCACGCTGCGTAAAATATACAACTATACAATCTTCAACAACATGTGTATGTAACTCTCTACAGTACAATGTACCCCCCCCCCGGTGCACCCCCGGTGTTTGCCATCGGGATTGGGTTTCGTCGCTTGGCAACGACGTTGTAAAACAAGCCGCCCCCCCCGGTGTTTGCCATCGGGATTCGGTTTTCGTCGTTTGGCAAAGACGTTGTAAAACAAGCCAATTCACTTCGTGAACTCGGCAACCAGGTTACCGAGGCTCCATGTCCAGTATGTTGCGGTGAGCCTTTTGGGTGTCGCGCATTTTCTCGACCAGCTTTAGACCCTGGCCGTCTACTGCACCCAGCTGTATTTCGCGTTAAGCTCGGCAGTAGTCTCGTGTACGCCGGGCGAAGCCTCGCACCCGACCGATCGTCAAATCCTTTTTCGTGCACATCGATTTTTCGATGTTGGCGTGCAAGTGCTTCGGGACTTCGTCGTTGTACTTCCGCCGAAACCTCTGCTTGGAAAACCCCCACGAGTACTCGATCCCTACCCCCGCTACCTCTGGGTGATACGGAGACAACAAAAGTATGTGTCCCCTGCTCTCGGCCAAGTACTGCAGCGCCGTCCTCTTACTCTCTAAAGCCGTCAGTGCCTGCAAGACTTTCTCGATGTTCTTCTCGTCAGCGATCCCCACTGACGCATTCATCCCCTCTTTCCACCATCCCCGTTCCCCCAGGGACTGCTTCGAGCCCTGTGCCTTCCCTTCGTACCTTTCCTGAATCTTTTCCCTAGGCTTTGTTCCAGCCCCATCAGCCGCCCCTTCATCGCCTGCACCAACCCCCGCTCCCGCTTTGCTCTTTCGCTTCGCCTTGCGCGCGACCTTCACATCCTTGCCCGGCGCATCCCACTCGTAAAAGGGAGGTGGAGAACCATCCGCAAACGTGCTGGTCTGCGTGTCGCCAACCTTGAGCTTCATGTCGTAGACCTCTGCCCCCTCGGGGAACTCCGTGCTCCACTTGCCGTTGGAGAGGTACATCTTCCCCTCTTCCGGTCCCAAACACCACTCTGTAATGACTGTATCCCGTAACACCTTTTGCTTCCCCCCGTACTTGACATTCATGTTCCCCACATGCAATCCATCCTCCCGCTTCCTTGTGTGCCCCGAAGAGTGGTCGATCTCAACCACCACTTGCATGTCGGGTTCGAAGACGTTTAAGACGTCCAAGACGTCCTCGATCTGTTCCTTGAACTCGTCGTATCCTCGGTATCCATCCCTGTTCTTCCAGTACTGGAGAAACCGCAGGTCAGGGCGTTGTGTCAGGACTTCCTTGCCCTTCTCCTTGCGACGCGCGTTCACCGCCTGGAGCACGTCGTCCGTCAACGGCAAGCCAAAGCCGTGCCTCTCATCTTGAAATGCAGGCACCATCTCTCCCGGGCCCTCGGTTTTCTTCCGTAAGCCGCGTACCCCTTGGACAACCCACTCCTTGCCCTCGCGCGCATACGCCTAATAGACACTCTCGTCCTGTCCGATGTGGCGCACCTTCCTGTTGCATTTGCACTTGGCCGGGGTATCAAAATGCTCGCATGGAACAGCAGCAACTTCTTTGAAGCGGACGCTGAAGTGCCCCCCTTCCGGTCCAAGTTCAGCACGGAGAGCGTCGAATCGATCGACGGAGTCGTTGTCCCGCACGAGATCGACGTGGAACTCGATGCTCTCGCGCCCCTCTACCACGCAATCGTAAACCTCTGCGCCGAACTCCTCCGCCGGACCTTTGATGCCGTCAAGCCGCTGAAGCTCCTCCGGCGTCAGAGTGTCTCGTTGAACTCGCACCCACAACGGTTGCCGAAGGGCGAGCTTCCGCTTCACGTCGATGTACTTGCCGCGGTACACCACCACGTCCTTCTTCTCGTGGCCGTCCGTGTAGAAAGACTTCGTAGCCCGCTCGTACTTGCACCCCGGCACGATCATCCAGGAGTGGGTTGTGGCCATGGACACGGGAAGGTTCACCNGTGGCCGTCCGTGTAGAAAGACTTCGTAGCCCGCTCGTACTTGCACCCCGGCACGATCATCCAGGAGTGGGTTGTGGCCATGGACACGGGAAGGTTCACCTGGTNCCTCTGCGCCGAACTCCTCCGCCGGACCTTTGATGCCGTCAAGCCGCTGAAGCTCCTCCGGCGTCAGAGTGTCTCGTTGAACTCGCACCCACAACGGTTGCCGAAGGGCGAGCTTCCGCTTCACGTCGATGTACTTGCCGCGGTACACCACCACGTCCTTCTTCTCGTGGCCGTCCGTGTAGAAAGACTTCGTAGCCCGCTCGTACTTGCACCCCGGCACGATCATCCAGGAGTGGGTTGTGGCCATGGACACGGGAAGGTTCACCTGGTCGAAAGGAGTCTGGATCAATCCCCGATATCGTTCGCGAAGAGCCACTGGTTGATGTAGTTCTGGACGTCCTTGACCGTAAGGCGCTCCTGTGTCCTCATCCACTTGATGAGCTCATCCTTGAGGTCCTCTTCCGACGTGATCCAGTCCCTCTCGTGCACCCCCCTTGAATCTCGCTCGGAACCACCGTGCCCCCGAAAGTCCCTGAGCTACCCCAGGATTGTCGATGCCGCGTAAACTCGCGAGCCAGCGGAGTTTACTCTTGCCGCGATCCGCAAGAGCGACGACTCGTGTCGACGACGCGAGGCCTCGTTCAACAGCTCAAACCGTTTGGCCTCTGCTGCCTTCACCGCTGGAATCGTCGTGTACGACTCATCCGACAAGCTCTTCGCCTGCTGCGTGAGTTCCAGTTGCCGCAGGTCGCGCTTCCGCTCCTCCTTCAACACCGTCAACGCCGAGTGCCCTTGATACCACAAGCGGTTTGCTTTGGTGGCGGGCACTTCCTCCTTGTACTGGTTGCCCTCGCCCTCGGTACACGCCCGTGCGTCCAAGTCTGCATTTCCTTTGATGGGCGAGGGGGGGAGAGGGGCGAGAAGACTCCCGAGGTCTTGCTCCGCCATAGCTTCCTCAATACGCCGAATGTGCTGCTCGTTGCTCTCGATCTGAGGATGTCAGCTCGTTACACTTGTGACGAGCATCTGTAAGGCCCCACAGGGAGCTGCGCCCGCACAGCAGTAGGTCTAGAGGTTTAAATAGACAGCAGTTGAGGAGTGCATAAAGGTGTGAAAGGTGCGTTCAAACAGCGCTTGTAGCACCGGTGAGTACAACAACATCGGGACCGGCAAGCCAGCACATGACACAGGCAGTCTTGTACGTGACAATGTTGTGTCAGCTCAGCTCGTTTCACCCGGTGCACTTTGAACCGAAAAAAATGGAAAATGCTACAAACGGGGAAATAAAAATTATCTCGATACGGTGTAGTGAAAATTAGTACTTTCGAGAGCTGCAAGTAGTACCCTCACGTACAGATACTGGCCGCCGTCGCCGCTGCCTCTCGGGAAGCAAACCGTGAACTCTGCTGTCTTTCGCCTTGTCTCCCTTCCGCTTTGCGAAGTTGAGGAACAACCGCCACTTGCCAGTGTTCTTCTCTGGACAGCACACGGGCATGGACGTCTTCTCCCAATGGTCTGTGGCTGCGGGGAAGCGGCTGGAAGCCATGCTGGCGCTCTTTGCACGGTGCTGCGCAACAGCAATGTGTTCTGCCGCTGTGTTTCTTTTTCCAAAAATCCATTATTCCGCCCCCAAAAAAAGTTTCAATTGTTTTTTGAGCGACTCTAAAACCTACATGAATTGGGGGTGATATCTTCCGTTTTGAGACAACGTCGACGATCAGCTGTTTGCTAACACGTACGTATCCGCCTTGGTTGGGCGATCCGGGGGATATGCCGAACGCGGCTCAATTCTTTTTCCTTGATAAGCTATGGCGTGACGAACGCAAGTTGGTTTCTTGGCTGGACCAGCTTGCAGCACTCGCCGGTGTGCTTCTTGGTGGAGGAACTCTCTGAGTCCTCCTGTTTGGGGTCTTTAGGCGGGCGGGGCGGCGCGAGGCCCAACGGCTGAGCTGTGCCATTCCGTTTCGCGGTCAAATTCCACACAGGGTGTGTATCGTAGAAGTTCTGTACTACTAATATTAGCGTGTTGTGCCTCATCTCGCCACCCGACGGGTTGTACTTTCGTGTCTCGAAGCAGTTATCGCACGGCTCCAAACTGGGTGTTTTCTGAATGGTAGTGTGTACCATGGGAAAGCTCAATCGTCCGAGACTGCAACAGTTTCGTGCCGTCTGGCGGTATTCGGAGGGAGGTTTGTGTTAAGAACAGAGACATGTGGTGCGTCATGGCACCCCATGACAGGAGAACTTCCAATCTCTACTTGATTGCTGTGGAGTATCGAGAGCGTCTTCCGAGCGTCTGGCGTTGGATTAGGGTCGATCCATTCCTCGTTTCACCATTGGTGGATGAAGGGTTATGTGTGGAAAATTAAAACGTCCACTACGCTTATCGCGTCGCCTCCTGTACAATATACTGCTGTGCTTATGATAGGCGGTTGACTGAAGATATTACACCCCCTGGATCGAACAAGCACTTGTTTACTAACGACGGAAATACGTAATACTTATCTAATACTCAGAGCGATACTTTTCGGGAAAGCCCCACGAGACGATTCCGACGCCCCCACTTTGGTGTGGATTACGTCGCCGGTCGTTGGTACTTGGGCCGGGGGGGCGGTTATCTTGCGTCAAATACGACACTGACCACCATGTTGGCACCGTTGCTAATTTAATGCTGATGAACTCATCGAGCGGTAAAAATTGGGCCAGGGGGTGTGACATCTTCTGTCGCCTACGTTTGCCAACCGCGACGTTCATGACTGAATGGGATAACGACCACGACGACGAATCATATTTCAATGCGATGCGAACAACCGTGCGCGTGTCGTGCACCTGCCACATGATTCTTCCGACCATCCCGACGACCGTGTTTTCTTGTGCCCCAGGGGGAACGAACAACCTGTCTGGAACCCGCGAATCAATCCGGTGGCTGAGGAGCGATGCCGCCGCACATGAGGACGATCTTGCACATCGTTTGGTCGGTTTCCGTTCTTTCCCTGCTCGTTGTTGGAAGTGATGCGGTGCGGATTTGCAGTACACGCCTCCGTACAGTAGGAGACGACGGGAAACGGTCTGTGCATACCATGCTCAGAAGTGACGAATCCCAAGCACAACCCATGAGAGCGCCTACGAAGACGCCGAACTTTCCTACTGCTTGGTTAAGAAATATGTGCTCAACACCCAAAATGTGAACACCATATAGTTCACAGTGCGTGCAGATTCGCGAGCGTCTGGCCACACTGCTTGTTCGCGTAGTTCGGTCGTCAGAAGGCCGCCGTCAATGCGTTGCTTTGTAGCTCCAATAAAGTCTGCATGCTGATGCAGCAGCCGCCAACGCACCAGTCGTCGTAAGCCGTGCAAAGTCCCTTGCCGTGCAAAGTCCCTTGCTGCTATGAACACTTGCAGGCGACCCTTGACCGTGAGGACTGTACAAGTAGAGCGATCACGAGGAAACGGAAAATGAATACGGTAATCTGCACACCTCATGTACAATTCGCGGGCTTGTAGGGTAAACCGTTGGTGGCACGGGCGTAACCTGCCTTCGTATCCTTGTTGCGATGCGGCCGTCGATTCCCTGTTTTGGGTGGAGTTCTACGCGAGGAGCGAACCCGGCCAGCCGCCTGAATACTGCACCGTCTTCCACCACATGGTGAAGAGCGGGGGCTCGACGATCATACACAACCTTATCAAGTCTTCAGGGTCCGCAGGTGATCCGAGACCAGGTGCGACTACCGTATTTCATGTTCCGAATCAGTTGAAATACATCGCTCATAGAATCGAACCCTCAGCATATTTATGGAATTGTGTCAATCCTGACCATGGTCTCCAGGTTCCAACGTACGAAGGAAAGGGGAACTCTCTGTCCGGTGTTTCCTAACAGCCTTCAGAAGACGGGTTCTAAACTCTATCAATCGCACCTCCAAGGACCAGTTTGCCCCATCTACAGCACACATGCAAGATGAAGATGTCGGTGCCGAAGGACGCAAATATTCTCTGCAAACAAAGGGTCGAATACAAAAGTATATCAGTATTATCACCCATTGCGAGCTATGGGTGTATGCAACGTGTGAGCTTTAGGAATTAAATATATATGTGGATCGATCGAAACTCTCGCGTTCCAACGAATGGCTCTCGGTGTAGGTGGACGAAATACTCCGTGTGTCAATGATGGATACATCCGGGCGGGGAAGAATGTTTACAGCAGCACGCCATCAACTGCATCAACAGTACAGCGGCGGTCTTCCCCTGGGGTACCGTGAGGTTGCCATAAGTGACTGAGGTTGAGTAAGAGAAATACAAATGCCCAAGCCGTTCTCACCAGACGGTTACAGGCTTGGGAACGCCCTCATAACACCGCGTCAAACCCAAAGCAGCAAACAGAGTCGTCCTTGTACTGAGAGCACTTCCAACATATCCTCTCAAGAACTAGATCGTTCTGATTCCGAACAAGAATGCTTTCCACATCTATGTTCAATACGTTTCTATTTGTTTCACCACAGCTGCTATGTTTCAGCAGCAACAGAATTTCCCCCTACACAAATCCCACGGTCTACACATCTGCTCAAACACACCGTCGAACGCTAAAGACAACAAGTCTGATTTCATAAAGGCGAAGTAATAACACCCCTAGCATCACGATTCGGTTCCTGATAAACCTCACCGCACTCAAACGTTGTCTGATCTTTCGTTGTTGGAAGTGGTACAAGCATGTGTGTATTCTACTTCATTGGGTTGGACGGGGTATCATGAGGTGTCCAAGTCTGTAGCCGTCAGGTGAAGGCTACCTTGCGTTTGTAGACTACGTGTATAACATTACACTGTCTTTCTCTGCCTCAACCTCAGCCACATACGCCAACCACAGCGCACCACAGCCACTCTACTGCTGCTGGTACAGTTGGAGGCGAGCTACCGTCAGTTTACGACCACCCTGTAGTAGAAAACTACAGATCGATTCACGGCATCCTCCGACGCCACCAACCATTTTCAGCGAGGGCGTGCGCCGTTTGTCGAAGATGGGGCGCATTTCCATGGTGGGCAGTCTCTCTTTCGCTTTTTGATGCACGAAGCTGGCTCAGGAAAGGTCGTGTCTGTAGCGGAGACTGCATCAGCTGCTCTTACTGACACTGCTTCCGCGAACGAGGTCGCTGAACACCTAAAGCTGGTCGAGGAATTTGTCGACATGGCGGACGCGAATGGCTAGGCCAGCATGGCCTCCCAGGAAGTCAACTCGTATGCTTCGATAGGGGCCGAGGAACTCGGAGACGGGCGCAGTGCTCTCGTGGCACTGGAAGCCAAGTTCCGTGTCCACTGCGTACTCCGCACGCAACACCTGCATGACAAGTGTCCCCCGCCGACAACTTTGATCCCGGGCCGCGTGATTCAAGGGCCGGGTGGCGTCTGCATCGAACTGGACGCTCTTGGACACAAACAGTTCGGGCTAGGAACATGTATGCCTTTCTGAAATCCGCTTCCCGAAATACAGCGGGTCATTCAAGACTGTACTGTTGTGCTAGAAGCCGATTGGTTGTCGTGTCACCATGGACTTTGACGACGTGGCCAGTCGGGCAACTGCATACCTTTGATGCAACTCCGCGGAAATATGTCTTCCCGCAGCCACGGCCGTGCGCTCGACACAGTCGTGCATGATGGGGGGCGTGGGTTTCGCCGGCAAGGCAGACGTGGACAAGGAGGATGTCGTCGCGGTAACATCGGCGGGAACTCAAACGGTAGCAATGTTTAGTCGAATTGCAACAACGGCAACAGTGGTTTCACCTCGAACGGGAAGTCGAACAGCGGTGTCAAAATGTCGGAAGCCGGCTCTTCATATTGTTCGGCTCCCCGGCGATTCGGTTGCCAGTGTTTCTCTACCAGAGGCTTCGTGTTCTATCGTCTGGGAGCTGTTTGTACTAGCGACCGCGAAAAGTTGGCCCTAGCACCATACCATTGCGCGT